TATGCTGCCAATTACAGCTTGCTATGAAATAATCACTAAAGAGTTCCTTGGTCCTGTTTTCTTCCCTGGGACAAAGGGATATATAAAAATGTTGTGGGAAAACGTATTTCTGAGGTAGCCCTTCTCTGGACATCTCATCATATGTCTCTAATGTGTTGTCTCATCATGTGTTCTGATATAATCTTGCATGATAAGTTCTAACATGTTGAATCCAAAAGACCCTGAAGTCTAAGCTGGAGGCTTAGAACATCAAACCTAGGCCATGAAGCTAACTGGGATCAATGGAGTTCTTCCATCTAAATATCTCATATTAGTAAAAAAAAAAAAAAAAAAAAAAAAGGAGAGAGAGAAACTACCATGCAGCCAGGACATCTTGTCATTCTCTTTTGCAGATGACTAGTTACTGCAAGACTTGTGAGATTTATCTGCCCAGAAGTTATTTGTCTGGCTCAGGCTAGATGATGAGTCAGGTCTGGAAATTGTCCTAGATTATGTTAATGTCTTTAAGAGGGATCACTATTAAAAGCAGAAGCAGCTTTGGTTTTTTGTGTAGCTTGCCCTTGAAACTGCTAGTATGATCATGTGATATGCATATAGCAGTTAAATGTTAGACATTAGGTGCTGGACAGTCACACAGCAAAGTAAGACAGATTCAGTGTAGGGTAGCATGGGCTTATTTATTAAGCAGAATGACAAGACCCACTCTGAATCACCTCTCCTAGAAAATCTGAATGACTCTTTGGACCAAATATCGAGGCATTGCAAATGTAGACACCATGATTAACAGGCTAGAGTGCTGCAAGTTTTTAAGTTCTTTATACTGGTGCAAGTCTGTGTAAGCATTGGTATATTATCATAGACCCAGAGACCACAGAAAAATCTGAGGTAGAGCATGACAATTATTCAGCTAAATTTATCAGTGATTGAGGACATGTATTAATAATGGACCATTAGTGATGACAGAGATATGACTTGTTCAGTCTGAAGTAGCACACGATGAGAGCAATAACCATAATGGCAAAAAGCTTTTACAATCAGACATCAAATGACTAAGAAGCATTTCACTTGTTGCCAATATTAATAATGTCAATACCAATACTCTTAGATATGAGGAGATTCAGAAGGTTTTGAAGGATTACCTCACTGGGTTATTACTAGCCAATAACAGTATGTAACTATATCTTTCTTTTCTTTCTTTCTTTCTTTCTTTCTTTCTTTCTTTCTTTCTTTCTTTCTTTCTTTCTTTCTTTCTTTCTTTCTTTCTTTCTTTCTTTCTTTCTTTCTTTCTTTCTTTCTTTCTTTCTTTCTTTCTTTCTTTCTTTCTTTCTTTCTTTTTCTTCCTTCCTTCCTTCCTTCCTTCCTTCCTTCCTTCCTTCCTTCCTTCCTTCCTTCCTTCCTTCCTCCCTTCATTCCTACCTTCCTTCCTTACCTCTTTCCCTTCTTTCTTCCTTCCTTCCTTTATTATCCCTTGGTCTAATAAAAGCGAAATTTGTTCTGACAGAAACTGCTTTCAAAATTAAAAATCATTTTATTCAGATTTTCACCTCCATAAAAACAATAAACCGATAAATTATTTATTGAAAAGACAGAACATGAAGTCCAGCTAACATTCTTTACATCACAAATAACACTGGAAAAATATAGCTGTAATTATTAAAAAAAATAAAATTACCCAATTAAATATCTATTTTGGTTTTAGATCTATTCGTGTATTGGACAAGGTAATGTTAGCAGTTACATTCACTGTAAGGTGACAAACGATGCATTTATAGTATTGGTCACATAATACACTGTGATAAGCAGGATTAAAAAGAAAGAAATTAATATTCTTTTACATGTCAGGATATGAGTTATTAGCATTTACAATAATATAACTTCTATATTCAGTGAAAAACTTTGAATTTATCACAAATGCAGTTATTCCTTCTTATTTTTAATTTAATTTCCAATGTAATTTAATTAAATCATCTTCTTCCCCTCTCCTTTTTAAGGGCAGAAGATGCTTAAACTGTAATTATTTAAATGATAAGACTGCAATTTAAGATAGCTAATTACAATGCAGAACTGGGCAGATAAATAAGTAGAAAGTGATTTCTTCAGAATCCTCAGCTGATTTCTAAGTTTTAGCTACATTATGAGCATTTTACAGGAAAGAAGTAGTACTTTGTCTTTCTGACAGCAAAGGTTAGACTGACCATTAAAACAGCAACCAGAGTGCTTGCCAGGAACAACTTTGTTTAGCATGCATTTAAAAATTCAAGAAGATAAAAGCCACCACCTTCTCAATGACAGCAGTCCAGCAAGGAAGGACTGATTCTGAGGACTAATCCTTTAGGAC